TAGTAAGTGTGGTTTTCTTCACCACTGATATTCTGTTTCGCTTCGTGTTAGAGGTAAGCTGCTACCTTGGTTGTTGCATCGCCTCTTTTGTCCTCCTAACCTCCGTAACATTGTTACCAGGAGCACCTTGTTCCCTCTCGTCCTTCGTATTACGCAGATTAGTCAGTGGTACGAATTGGTTATCTTCACCGCTAGCTTGGAGATCTACGGGGCAGGAATTGCTGACCATCTTGACAACGGTCGCCACATTTTCCAACGTCGGTTCTACAGGCAACACTGTCTTTACGACAGTGGTAGCTACTGCAAGGACCTATCGCGTGTTTCCTCAGACCTCTCTTCTATCTTTATTTTGGACAACTCTCCTGGAGCCTACCGGTCTTTTCCTGGTAATTCTCATTAATTCACCCCTTCATGTGCATTGCCATCTCAAGTCGACTTAAATGGCACATTTTTCGCAGACAATGCAATCCCCATCCAATCTTGGTTCTCGGATCCCCAAGATACTGCCCTCCTCTGTTTGTTACCTGTGTTGGATGCCCTGCGATTCGTCTCTGACGTGCGCTCCATCCTGAGTCGCAACCTACACCGCGATTTGCAAGCGCAGGCTCTAATTGGACGGGGTCGTCCGCCCTCCCTCATGATGTGACTCACATCTCGCCTCATTTGTCTTAGAGCTGCATTTTTGATTTGTCTGTCTCCTAGCCAACACCACTACTACCACCTTTTTCTAATGCCAACAAACGACGCTGGTCCTTTCTTCTTCCTGCGTATGCTCTTTTCCCTTGCCCACCTTATGTATCTAATTACTAGAAAGTTTTTACTTAATGATCGGCCGTCGCCTCCCTCCTATCTGCTATCGCACTTATCCCGATGATGGCTCATGTCTACGTTTTGCGTTTAGGATGGCTAAATCAAAACAGGAATTGGGATCTGTACGGGAAAATATTTTATTTTAGATAGTGAGGGAGAATTTGACGGTAATGGCGCTGATGGTGTTGGTGCGAGGTCTTTTACCGAAGTGGAAGCTGTATCCTAAATAGAGGGGGAGGAGGGGTGCCTCTAGGGGACCGTTGCATCACCCCACGTCGTAAATTGCGACGGTTTATGGGTGTGGGCTGTTGTGGTAGACCCTTTAAACCGAGGAACAAGGTAAGTGTGAGGTGCGCATGTGTCTGCATTCGAATCTTAGCGAATAATTCCATTGTAGTTTACTCCAGCGTCTCGGAGAATGTATTCCGCCTAAAGACAAAAAGGAAGATTTCTTTTGTCAAGTTTCTTATGCACATTCTACTAACTGCCTATCGGTAGGGGCTTGCCACATCGAAATGCTGAGAGGTGGATTGAACCGACCCTTGATGGTGTGCTTTTTTAGGCGAATGACAAGAGTGGAGCTGATAAACTGTTGTTTAACCACTGAGTTAAGAGAACTTGAGGCGATTTTAATTGAGTTGACAAAGTCGAAATGGCACTACACCTGAGGCCTTGCTTTGGTAACACAAAGTGGATTTCAAATAGTAAAATCTTACCAGAAAGTCTACAGGATCGGCAGGTCTTCGCTGACCATAGATGACAAGGCACTCGGACACCTTAGGTAGAACATATTTAAGGAGGTAATTTCTGCGAGCCATTGACTTGACCATTTGACGTTCCTTGTTCTCCTTCTTCAAAAGCGTCAACCATTCATGCTGTGGAAGCGAAAAACCCGATGGTTGCC